CCTCTGCACTTCTGCCAGTTCGGAGCCATCTCTGTAACTGGAGGTGGCGGTGGCAGGTGGTCGTTGAAGTGCGACTGTCAAGCGTCAGATCCCAAGTCAGTTTGGTGCGCCGCCTCAGGATATGGGCTTTAGTGTCAGGTACGGTGGTTCAGTTCGGTGGCCAGGAGACAGTGCCGGTGTGGTGCGCCAGGTAAAGTCTTGAGTTCGGATAGAAGTGTGGCCCGAACTGCCCTGGGGTGGGCCAGTTAAGGTTGTGGCCCTTTGTGCTCTTCGCAAGGTTTGGGGCCAAGGGGAGAGTTTGGGCTTCTTTTGGGGAGCTCGGGTCACAGGTCCCTCTTGGGGAGCTCGGGGTTCCTCTTCTTGGAGCTCGCGCCTTGGGCACTGCCGTGCCGAGCTGTCGTTCTTGCCAGGTCACCCTTGGCTGCTTCCACGTGTCGGGTGGTCAAGAGGTCGGGTCAAATTTACCTCCATCACTAACCGAGAGGAAGTACCATGTACTACGGGAGATAGTTGGTAGAGGGGACGTCTTGATTCATAAGGTAGCATCAGCGAAAAATGTAGCAGACCCATTGACTAAGTCACTGACACAGAAAGTGTTTGAGAAATACGTGGAAAGTATGGGGTGGCTTGTCTCAACTGCAGAGTGATTTATCATGGGGAGATTTATCCTACCAAGGCTGACACTGATGTGCCGCCAAGTTGGTTGGGGTGGCTTGTCTCAGCTGCTAGGGTGAGACCTGAGGTATATGCAGTGCGAGTTTGCTTGAAACCCTGAACTAGACCAAATTTTAGTATTGCCCTGGACCTTGGAGATAGATGGGTAAAACTGGAATGTTACACTTGACCCCTAGACTCAATTATGGTTCTGCACTAAGTGTCGGATTGGGTTGTCTTTGATATGCCAATCAGTGAGATCTTTTACTAGGTCAAAACCTGGGTATGTTGGGGCAGTCTGAGAATTCATCTGAGTGAGTGATCATAGTGACATGATCAACCCCTTTGTTGGACAAAGTGAATGATCGGGGAATGCACTCTCTCTGATGGAAACCTAAACTGCCGGCAGTAGATTTCAAATGTGTTTGAAATTTGGTTTTGCAAAATATATTTATATAAGGATATATACTATGGTTTCAAATTGTTTGCAAAAAAAGGTTTTAATTAATGGGATCCATGTGAGTAGAGAGTGCAGCACTATACCTTGAAGCCGAGGGAGAGGTCCTCTCTTGTCGGGTAGTGTTTGATCATTATGGGCTGAGAGGTTAAGTGTAAGGCCATTGAGGGTAGTACCTGATGGGCTAATCTTGCATATGCCCACAGTCCTTGGGTTTTCACAAGATGGCTCGATGCAAGGACCATTTAGTGTAAATGTTGGGCCCATTAAGAGCCCATGGTGATGGACTCAGGGATTTACTGTGACCCATAGTGAATTCAACCAGGCCTTGTAACAAAGGGTAGGCTGAACCCATGTGGCTGATGTGTAGATCAATGCTAGGGTCCCACGCCATACAAAGAGAACCAAACTAGCCAGCACTTAATGGGTTAAGTAAGCAATATGACTTAATGGGCCTAAAACCCATTTCATACTGGGCTTAAATTGTTTAATTAAATTGGGCCATTATGGGTTTATAATCTGATTGGGATTAGCAGTTGGATAAGATAAGTATTATCAACTTGAGAGTCCAGATCTAATTACAAGATTTAGATTAGGAAATCTCATTCCTAATCAGATTAGGAAGTTGATCCAGAAGGGATTATAAATAGGRGCGAATTCCATAAAAGGAACACAATTCTCTCTACAGTCTTTTTGCTCTCTCAGTTCTTAGCGCCATCCTAGTTCGATCTCCACCTACTAGAGTGATCAAGAAGTGTTCTTGATATTGTTTCTTGGTGAAGAAACAATAAGAAGTCATGCTCACACCACTCTACTCGATTCTTGGTGAAGAATCTCAAGTTCTTGCTAAAGAACCATTCTTGCTGATCTTGCCTCAACATACACTATGTCATCTTTACTGGAGGTGGATTTGGTATCATTTTTGGGCGTGAACACCTACGTTGGGAGTCCCTTTTACTTCGTATCAAGTATATCTCTCACTTCACTTTTGGTTTCAGATCTAGTTCGGTTTTGATTCAAGAACGAACCTTGAAAATGCGGTTTTCTAAATTAGGGAATACGATTCCCGGATCGGAGAGAAAAATTTTTTGAAATTTTGCCCAACCTTCCTGTAGGGTTTGGCCATCCATATGATGGATTTCCCATCCCTTCACTTTCAACCCCCCAAGCTAAGAAACAACGTGCCCAACTTTCTCAATGTTAGGCTTTGTCTAGTGAACTTGTGCCACTGGCACAACTATAATTTGAATTTCAGTTATAGAAATGCCCCTCTCTTTTCAATACAATTTAGTGGGGCTATGAGGTCAAGTTTGTCATATTTTCAAGCTTATATCCAATGACCAATGCAACCAGCCAACCATTATGTCACCTCGAAACGAACCACTAAGGTTAGGAGCCCAAAGCACTTCTTTCTTTTCTTCTTCTTCTTCTTCTTCCCCCTCCTCCTCCTCCTTCTCTCTCTCTCTCTCTCCATCTTTCCTACAACTACTCATTTCCAAATGTGTTGGTCTCACTTATTTTTTTCTCTCTTCTTCCATGGTTTCTTCTTTAAACTCTAATGGCGCAATGGTGCAACCATGGTAGAAGGTTACTTAGCCGAGTGACCAAAATCTATCGCCTAGAACGATGCAACCATGGTAGAAATCTACCTCCCCAATGGGGTGCTTATCCACCTTATATCTTAAGCCAACAAACTAACTAAATCAAACCGAGAAACCGGTCCTTCATGTTTGGGCCAATTTTCCCTTATGATCGATCAGTTTTGGTTTACATGTTTACCAACCCAAGAGGTCGGTTTGGTTGGCCAAAATGCTTGCAACCGAACCAAATCAACTCGTAAACACCCCTAGAATTAACAACATTCTCTACATTTAGAGTGAAAGTTCATCAGTATCAATACACCTCTTAATGTAATTATTGCACTTCCAAAGGTAGACGTTAGAACAAACACAAGCTCTAAAGCTCAATTTGGAAAGAGTACAAATGCAAATATGTACATTGCAAATATATACAAAATAATACAAAATATTTGCATTTGCACTCTACATATTTGCATTTGCACTCCTTCGAAACTGCGCCTAAATAATTTTATACAGAAAAAAGAAAATGTAATAAAGTTGAAAAAACTTAAAAATATACGAATGCTTTTGTTAAAAAAAATGCTGGTTTTGCGTCCATGGATCACCAACGCAGCTTCCAACATGAACACGATCTGTAGATCAAGTTGGAACTTTGTTGGTAGCGTCAGGTAGATAGAACATCCGGACAATCTCGGAAGGATCCTTGTGTCCTTCATAGAAAGAGAGAAAATGCGTTGGCATCTTACAGAGCAACTGTATAAGTATGGCTTCTCGAATGAATCGAATCATATGGCTGCATTGTAGATTTGGTTGTATTGAAATTTACTCTCTAGATTGATAGACCATTTCAATGCTTTAGGCCCAATTGGATATTGGCGTATCGTCCAAGTCCAAAATTTAAATAATTTGGATGAAAATTTATTAAATAACACGTGGCTAGTTAACAGATGGATGGATAACAAATGATAGATCCACTTCGCTGGTTGGCGTAAGGGATATATTTTCTTATTTGTTTGATGGGCGAGGTAATGGATATTTCGGGATCTGGTATTTCAGAGCTATGGACGATCTGCTACAGTGATATGTATCCCTTTGTCCAAGCTGGACCATGGGTCACGTAGTCAAAATATTTTTGGTTGGGCCGGAACCATGGGTCACTTTTTTGGTTGACCCATGGTCTACTTCTAGATTGGGGATTAACTAAACACAATATCCGTTGAGAAGGATTAACTAAATACAGTAGCTGTTGAGCAGTCATGTCTCACTGGTGTGGCATATCATTGGTCTGGTTGCACAGCCCATGTGTTCAGTTAATCCAAATTACTCCTGATATACCCCAATACCAAAGAGTAAAGGCAAGTCTATGTTACAATAATTAGAGACCTTATCAGTCACGTGCTTTGGAATCTTCTGTTCACGTGTTAAGAGTGAGTATACCAGTGCTAAATTGGATTCAGTCCTCACAAAATCGCTTTGACGGTGTTCAAAAGCCACTTGTAACTGTGTATTGAAAATATCTCCCTATTAATAAAATATATACAATTATAGAAATGTTTTTGTACACAATTGCAAAATACCATGAACATGGTTTTGTGAGGACTGAAWTCGTTTACTTGTAGTTGGTTATGTATGCATAGGTTTTCTCTGGTTTTATTTGGAGGGTAAAGTAAAAGCCGATCCAAAATATAAAGGGCTTGTTTGGCAAGTTTTTATGGGAAAATTTTCTGGTAGTTCTCAGAGTTAAAAAACATATTGAGCTTCTGCACGAAGATTTGAGTAGTTCGAAATTAGTTTGGGAGATATACATCTTTCTGTGTCATTTGGAGTTTTTCGAAATTAGTCCCAAATTGGCTTCTCGTATCTTTTGACAATTAAATCTTCCATGAATTAAACAGGAATAAACTGAAATTCGGTCCACCAAACTTATAAACAACCAAAAGATTGTGCAAAAAAACACGCCAAACGGGCCAAAAGTTAGCCCCCCATGAAAATGGTCACACGCGAGAGGCCCACAGCAAGGCTGTAAACTCTAAAAACTGTTTCCCTGACCCGCTGCGGTTCTGCCCWAACAAGTATTTGGAAATCATTTTAAAAGGTAGTGAAAACAGTGAGAAATGGGCTCCTGGAGAAGCATTATGACGGAGTACATACGCTAGTAACTTCGACTGAAAAAATATTCCAATCCAACGATTTCTAGCACTCAAGTGCCATTCTCGCGGCTAGGGTTGATTATTTCTATCATTTTGCGAGGGAAAAAAGATTCTAAAATAATGTCTCCTGAATGAACGAGGCCCAGAGATTGTTCCGTCCGTTGCCATATTAACGAATATTTTCTTCTCACACGCGCGCAGCCACACACACCGATGCACTGGTCTATTACCTTTTCAATCGCAATCGTCTTCCCGCAAAGGAAAATAGAACCGGAGAAAACAGAATAACAGCGAAGATATGTTGTGGAATCAGGAAATCTCTTCTTTCTCCCAGTTATCTCTGCCATGGATTTAAAGTACGATCTTCCATCTCCCCCCTCCCCCTTTGTCCATCCATATTTTTCTTTTGGTTCTCTTTTCCTCCTGAATTCTTCATTTACATTTTTTCCCTTTAATTAATTGCTCGTTTGTTAGTATTTTTCCCCTGCAACCCTAATTTTTTGGCTCTGAAGTGTTTTGTCATTCTTTTTTCGGAATGGATGAGTTTGGGATTAATACATCGCTTCTTTAGATTAATTTGTTTTCTGAAATATAAATTCTGATCGAGTCCTGTTATGATTGAAAAGTTGGTTAATAAGATATTTGATACTCGCCATAAATGCGAATTTTGCAAGTGCAGATCTATTATTTCTTACTTTGGTTTTTAATTTTGTGTGCATATATAATTCCATAATTACTACTGATATTAACATTAAAATTAACAATAATTACAAATTGATATAGTGTACAAACTTGTAAATGGATGTTAATTGAGTTTATCCAACTGTTACATATCAAATGGTTTGCTCATTGAACTCGAGATATGACCCTTCCTTTATTTTTGAGTAATACTTACAGAACTAGATAAAAATAGATTATAAGGACTCTGCATAGTCCCGAGCAACTACAAGGCTACAAGCTTCTTTGTTGTTTATAGCGTGGAGATTCTGGCTTATGCTTGTAATACGTTAAACTTTGTTACCACATTCCAGTATATATCTAAATGAAAAATACAAGTTGATATGATCCAAACTTTGGATTATGAAAAAGCTATGTTGAGACAACAGATGCATCCGGTAGAACAATGACAAAGGCTTTTTCAATCTGAGAAGCACATGGGCGAATGAATTTCCTAAGAGATCCAAATTGACTGTCATATTTGCATTTATTTAGGACTTAGTGTCATTATGGATATCTTGTTTATTGTACCAGGCGATCCAAAGAGAGTTAAGTGATGCTATGCTGGCATTATTTGTCACCTACATACCAGTCTGTCAGGTTTTGATGCAAAGTGCTTGCATTATGCCTAGACCATGTGGAAATCTATGGATCTCTTCCATAGGACATTGACCTGCCTTTTTTTTGAAGAGTAAGAGAAGAAATTTTATTAATAAAAGGTTATAAGATAGGAGGTGACAAGATGGCACCTTACCAAGACAGAACAACTAAGGACCAAAAGAAACAAATTAAACACTGATATAATTCTGAATTTCAAGAACATTCCAAAAGTTCTCCCCCAAATCTGATCTGCTAATCTGAAGGACATTGGTCTGTCTAACTACCATAAAGTTAAAAGTTTTCTATCCTGTATGAGTGTATCTTTTGTAACCTCTTCGTTTGCAGCCTATGGGAATGAGATGAATAGGAATTGTCAACCTCGTGGGATTTGTTTCCTTATCTTTAAGATGAGCTTTCCATATTTATTTCTGTCAGTTGGATGTTTGGTCCAAGTGTACAGCAGAACAATTGTTTTGCACATATCCTTTTTATTATTCTTTTGATTGGTGTTGAACAATCGTTTTATGCTGCAAATATGCACATGTCACTTAAACATTTTATGGAAGTCTAAAGTTTCATGGCTACCGGAGGCAGTGAATGTAGTCAGGCTACAATTGATGCATCCAAGGAATTGCAGTTTTGTGACATTTTTGGAATAAAATTTGTTGGATTGTTGAAATTATTATTGATGTTATGCACTTTTATTAGATATTTGCACAAGTGACTAAGATGACTTTGGGATCTCCTAATCGGCTATTAAGCTATTATTACTTGATTTTTTCATCATATTGTCTGAAGAGGCATGACCCTTGGTTGAGAGATTAAGAAATCACAATTAACAATTTCCTAATTGATAAGGTTTAATTATTGTTTATTAGGGGTAATTTCGTGATATAGAAAACATGGTGGTCAGAGCCTCATGTTTGGTTTAGAGTAGAGATTGTTATTACTTTTAGTGGTTTTGGGTGTCTAGGTTTGTCACTTATGTTGTGCCCTGATTTTCAGATGTTAATACCCATCTGTTTGACATGGTTTTGGTAGTAAATGAAAATAAAATTTATTAAAATAGGAGGTACAACTGAGGGTGACGATAGATCACCAAAATTACAAGACAGTACAGAAAGTAAAACAAACAAAAGAAGAAACAAAGCCAATAGAAGAACAAAGCTTCTAAACCAGTTCAAGAATGTTCCAAAAATCAGCACCAAAATTTTCTTTAGAGACCCTCTCTTATTCTGGAAGAATGAGAACCCAATCCATGATCCTTTTACCACACAGAAGAGTGATACAGTCCCTTGATCAGGCAATATCATCAAATATTCTCCTATTTCTTTCTTTTGAAATTTCCCAACACACAGCAAAAGGAATGCAGCTCCAAGCGATCTCCTCCTTGATATTTCCCCTAACACCTGGCCACCTAGAGAATAACTCCTCTGCCCAACAAGGGACCATCCATCTAGCCTTGAAAAGCCAAAGAAGAATCCCCATATGAACTTAGATTAGGGGCATTCAGTACACAAATGGAAGTCATTCTCTTCTGCATCACCTAGCCTTGACATGGTTTTAGTATCATAGCCTCATGAGAATGGTTTTTCAGTTTGCCATCCATGAACCTGATGTGATTTGAGTGAGTTGTGACAGTTTAAGTGTCAGGATATCAGTTTGCAGTGGGATTTTTTAGTAATTCTATTTTGGTCCAGTTTTCTCTTGGCTCTTAATGTTAGCTTTGTGAACATTTAAGGAGTTTTTAGTTTCTAATGAAGTTTTGGTTCTTCTTTATTGGAGTCTACTCAATTTGTCTTGTGTATTCAAGAATTTTCTCAATGAGAAAAAGATGGCTATCCGTTTATCTTCTTTTCATGCTTACCACTATGTTATTTTGTCACCTAGTATGTATCCATGTACATGCAATACCTTTTTTTCCTGGAAATTGTCTCATTCCTTCATCATGTTTGAAAGGTTTATGTTTTGAAAAATTGAAATATGTTTTTTTTTTTCTTGTTGCTTCTTTCCCAATTTCATGGATTTCTGTTTGGACCAGATAGCAGTTTAGTGCATATTGATCTTTTTTATTCCTGAAGCCTTGTATTGATCTTAAAAGCCACCAGGGATGCCTTCCCCCTCTAAGTGTCCTAAATGAGTTTATATATTTACTCACAGCTAAAAGAATTCTTTTATGTCTTATTGACACAAAAGTTTATTTCCATTTTTCCTTCTCCCTCCCTCTTTTTCTCTCTATCTGTCTATCTCTCCCTCTCCCTCTCCCTCTCCCTCTCCCTCTCCCTCTCATATTCATTTTTCTTTTTCACTCTTTTTTGTGTTAACACATGCAAAAATACATTATTTTGTCTTTCTTTTTTGTCAACATTTTGTACACTGCAAGGTTATGTACCTTATTTGTTTGGAAAGACTGATGGACAATTAATGCTATAAGAGACTCTACTTCTGCATCCATGCAACATAAAGAAAAGATTTTAAGTTATTCTAACTTCTCTAAGATTCTTTTTTAAAGTATATGACATGGATGTTTAGCCTTCATGTTCCTCTGTAAATATTTTGTGCATCATCTTGGTTTACTTTCTGGTTTCTAGTAGTTGAAATAGTATTGCCTGTAAGTTCAGCAATAACCTGCATGCGCATTCCATTGTAGATAACATATAAAGTTTTGACTTTTGAGTGCACCCTCCAGTTTCTGTTACCCCTTGCACTTGAGCTTGGATTAGCAGAAGCATTTAATAGACAAAAGATCCTTGTTATTGCCTAACTCTATGTTGGATTTTGTTTTTATTAGAGTAATCTGAAAGATTTTCCTTTTCTCTTTTTTCATGTTGCACAGGTATGGACTGTTTTGATGAGCCGGAAATATCATGTTGCAGTGCCTAGAGGGATTTAAGCATCTATTGGCTTTCTTGCTGAGGTGTTGTGATCTAGATTTGTATAAGCAGCCAAAGGGCCTTGAAGATCCAGAAGTTCTTGCAAGGGAAACTGTGTGTAAGTCATGTATCATTCCTCAAATTTTCTTTTCTGGATGCTTGGCACATTTTCCATTTTACATATTTCATTCTTTAATCATCAATTAATAAAGTTAACAATTACCTACACAAAAAAAGAAAATTTCTTTTCTGGATGCCAAGAAGCATTTTTTGGAACCGTTAAACTTTGTGAAGATGTGTATAATGCTGTGTTTCTGATTTAGTTATGAGCAAGTTTATGCCGTTTATTTAATATTGTCTGTATGCAGACTGCTTGTTTTAATTTTAATGGATGTTGTTATGCTTGTTTATGTATTCATTTGTGGTTATTATGCCTGTCTATGTATTCATGTCTGTGGTTTTGTGTTTGTCTTGTATTCATGCCTTGCAATGGATATGGTGCTGAACAGAATGAAATGGTGAAATAGGATTTGTGTAGCCAACCCCATATAGTTGGGACAAGGCTTAGATAATGATGAATGATGATGTATTCATGTCTGTGGTTTTGTGCTTGCCATGTATTCATGTCTTGCAATGGATGTGGTGCTGAATGGAATGAAAGGGTGAAATAGGATTTGTGTAGCCGGTCCCATATAGTTGGGACAAGGCTTAGATAATGATGAATGATGATGTATTCATGTCTTTGTTGTTGTATACTGTTACTACCAGTATTTTTTTCATTACCTCTTAAAGGGGCAGCCCAATGCATTGAGCTCCCATCCAGGGTCTGGGGAGGGACAGATGTACTAAGCCTTACTTCTGCAGATACATGGAGAATCTGTTTCCAAGATTCGAACCCTGGTCACCTGGGTTGCAATGGAGCAACCCAACTGTTGTGCCAAGATTTCATTACCTTTTACTTTTCCTTATTGAATGTTTCTAGCTCTTGTGGCTGTCGAGTGTAGAAGACATTTATATCATCTACCATAAGCATAGTTTTCACTATAAGCATCATCCCTTCTGTTACATTAACCAGTAAAACTAGCTGACTAATATCCAGAGCATCAAAAAGCAAAATTTTTGTGTTCTTTTGTGATGTCATACTTCTTGGGTGGAAGGTAAAAGGAGAAGTTAGTGACTTTCTTGGAGCAATGAACGAGTTGCCTTGCTCGACCACTTGCAAAGAGTTTTCAAATCCTAAGGAGCTTCCTCTAGGTAGTCGTGGTGAGAGCATGCTCAATGTTTTGGCGTTTGATCCAGTGGAAGGGAAGAAAGAGCCGAACCCTATTTTGTTGTGCCTGGAGTTAAGCCAGGAGTGTAGGGGTCCTGTTTCTCGTTTACAGAGAGGAAGCCTAGAGAAGGAACTGGGAGTAGGGGATGTGAGTAAAGCTAGGGTAGAGGCAGTGGTAGAGGAGGTGGTGCACAAAATCAAGGAGTGGGAGGAGGGAGGAGACAAGGAAGAAGAGATGGCTTATTAGAAGTTGAGGGCGAGCAGGGTTCTGACTTAGATAACATAAATCAAGACACGTGCCATAGGATAGGTGCCAGTTATTTGGTTTCTGAAGTGGTTGTTACTTGTTGGTAGACTGGGAGTTGACTTGGGTCGTAGGGGAAATGAGATGAGTGTAGTTGAAAGTGGCGATGTTTCAGAGACCCCAAAGAAGACTGGAACTTCAAGCAAGTTAAACGTAGTTCACATAATGAAGGTCTTTTCGAGGCTAAAGGAGGGTCTGGTGGGAGCTGGACCGAAAAATAAGTATAAAAGGATTTATAAAAGAAGAGGGGTTAAATGTAGATCTTCGAGTGTTGAGAACCCTTGCCCAGAATCTACCCTCTCATCCAAGGAGGTTAGAAAGAAGCCTTTTCAGGATGGTTCTAAACAGGAGTTTAATAAGCCTGACTTGTCAGAAAAAGCTTTCAGGGATGAGTTTGATTTGAAAGAGGTCTCTGCTATGGTGATGCTGAAGGAAAAGGGAATAAAGAAAGGAAGCGTGGATTTGAAGACGCTAGTTGACAGAAGTGGAAATTGGTAAATCCTTGGGCTTGTTCTTCATAGGGGGAGAGAATATTGTGAGAAGATCCTTTGAAGCATACGAGAGGAGAGGAAAGAAGACAGCTTCAGAAAGGTCCTTGAAGCGTTAGGGGGAGAAATTTGGGATGAGGAGGGAGGCCCAGACGAGTTTGGTGAGGTGGAAGATTGACCTGTGCAGCTGTGCCTAGCATCTGCATTGTTTTGTTGTTGCGGTTGTTGTGTAAAATTTTTTTCTTTTTTACCTATCAAAAATGTTTATAGATATTAGTACAAATGAGGGTAAACCCCAAACTCATAGGACGTAGTCATACAAAAATCAGGAGCAGCTTAAAGCCAACTATTCTCATTCCCCCCACCTCCCTTCACATTTCTTTTGTCTTTACAATGGTCTCCCAGTGCAGGCTCACACTAACATAAGTTTTACTGAGAGATTCTGTCCCTAGCTAGGAACTGGCTATCTGTTAGCTGATTCGGGAGTCCACATGACAGAGCAAATCAGGCTGGTTCCCCTGAGCTTATGCATGTCAAACCAGGAGGAAAACCTCAATCCATGGCACATCAACTCCACATTTTTTCAGCCTGTTTTTCTGCCATTATATGAAATTTAGGATTATTTTCTAATGGATAAAATATAAACTAATTGCAGGTAAGCCCGTTATTATTTTGGTTTTGCAATGTCCCTTAACAATTCAAATGGCTAAATCAGTCAGACAAAAATTAACACTCACAATAAGATTTTAAGTCTAATATAACTCACAAAAAGCACACCTGCATTTAGATTTTTTTTTTAATAAATCTTGTGGTCCCATGCTCCTTATGCATTTGATTCAACTTCTGCTCTACGCTTGGGTGAATCAGATTGTATGAACCAGCTTGCATACTTTCATTGCTGAGAAGCTACGAAAATTCTGATGTTTGTGATTATATGAGGATTTTATTCATTGCATCACTTTTGTTTGGTGATGTGTTGCTTTGTTTTAATTTTGTTATTTTTTGTGTTTTTTTTGGGTTGTTGAAAATTACTTCCAGTTAATGTAATAATGTCAATAAAAAGTTGTAAAAGTTTCCTGCTTTTTTATTGCAGTTAGTGTAAGTGAAATTGAAGCATTATATGAACTGTTTAAGAAGATCAGCAGTGCTGTAATTGATGACGGATTGATCAACAAGGTATACTTCAGGCCCTTCTAGTATATGGAGAATTTGAGATTTTATATTTTATTTACTTAATTTAAAGAATTATATAGTTTTAATTGCTAACAAATTCAACTATTTTATTGCAGGAAGAATTTCAGTTGGCATTGTTCAAGACAAACAAAAAAGAAAGCTTATTTGCGGATCGGGTACTCTTTTGCTTTTCAAGCCTTATCATTTTGTCAGTTTGTTGATTAGTTTTCATTTAACAGTGTCATAAGAAAAGGGTAGCCCAGTGCACGAGGCTCCTGCCAATGTGGGGTCTTGGGAGGGATAGATGTATGGACCTTACCCCTGCACATACAGAGAGGCTGTTTCCAAGATTTGAACCCTGGCTGTAGAGTCCTTTATGTTTTTAACATATATGGTTAACCAAATGGGTGACATATCCTGTATCAAGGGCATACATGCCCTTGCTGATAAAAAAAAGGGCATACATGCCCCCTTATATATTGTTTTGATGATTAAAAAAAGTTGAGGTAGTGTGTTGTTGAGTAGCTTATTCTCAATTTTCCTCATCGTTCTCCTTTCTTCTTCATTCGTTAGATCTCTCATCTATGATATGGTCGACTAATATCTTTTCATGTTTTATGTTAAGGCACATGACCTCATGGCTATATTCTTGTAAACTTATTTACTAAACCAAAGGTATCCACATAGAATGTATATTTAAACTATGTGGTTTATATCTATAGGCATGAGGCATAGTTCAGAACGTAAGGGGCGTAATCGGAGGAAGGAGGATCTCATCTTTTTTTTTTTTTTCCTTTCTATTTTTATTTAATTGAAAGATGTCTTATATTAAGAATGAAGATGCATAACACTAGCTCAAAGGGGAGGTCTTGTCAAAGTGGAGGCGAGCACCCAACATTTCTTTTCCGTTCTCTTCCCTTTCCTTTCCTTTTCTTTCTTTCCTCCTTTATTCTTCTTTTCTTCCTTTCTCTTTCTTTCCCTTTCCTTTCTTTTCCTTTCTTTCTTTCTTTCTGTCTTTTTGTATGAGGCATGCATGAGGCAATACTTATGGACGCCTCTGGCATACACCTCAGGGCGTTTTGGGGGTGCCTTGCCTGGAGTGTGCCTCCAGGCATACACCTCTGATGCCTTTTAAAACACTGGCCATAATAAAACCCTATTAAGTCTTAGGCAGTGTTTGGTTGCTCTAAATCGGCATCTGAAATAAGAAAATCTTGTTTTTCAGAGGTTGGGTCTCATTTGTTTTAATGCCTAAACCATATCTCTAAATCTCTAAAAGTGATAAAAGGTCTGATTTGGTAAGAGGTGGCCCATGCACGGAATGTTTTCAGATGTCTTTTAGATGGTTCATAATGACTAAAAATGCCCTCCTTTCCTTTTAATATCACAGAGGCTTTAAAAAACAAAAAAAAGCACATTTTTGCTTTTCAGATTTCAGATTTCAATTTTATCAAACGCCACCTTAGCTTTTCTTTAATTAAATCTATCATTACTTTCTCCAATAAAATCATTATTAAATCTCTCTCTTTCTCTCTCTCTCTCTTAAACTAGATGGGTTGGGTTGGGTTAAGGGTCAACCCAAGATCAACCTTAGACGTGGATCTTGGCTTGGACCTAAACTAATGTCAAAACCCAAATTTTCCAACCCAAACCTAACCAAATTTCTACTCAACCCCATGTATTGCATTACTTCACTTGCTAGTTCAGAAAGAATTCAGGTCAGGAAAATACCAAATTATAGTTAGACAACATCCATGTGCAAACGCATGATCTGTTTTCTTTTGTGGGGGATATGTTGTGTCTCATGCTGTAGCCTGGTAAACTTTACTGCTGCTGTGTATTTTTTTTCTTTCTTTTTCAAACTTAATCGCTTCTCCTTTAAACTTTCTAATAAAATCTTCTTGATGCATGTCCTTGGTTCAAAATCTGCAGGTATTTGACTTGTTTGACACAAAGCACAATGGAATATTAGGTTTTGAGGAGTTTGCACGTGCTCTCTCAGTCTTTCATCCTAATGCACCAACTGATGATAAGATTGATTGTAAGCTATATCAAACTTACATTCATCAAAGTTTATATCTTCTTTAGCCTTCTCCTTTAATTTTCATTGGTTATAGCTCATGTTCCTTTTTTAAAACATTGAAACATGGAGACATATTGACAAATAATGAAAAGTAAATGAAAGGTTATTGAATCTGTAAGTACTTGTTGAATTATTTAGGTGGCAATTTAATTTTCTTAATGGTCTCTTATTTCTCGTTTCATGCATGTTTTTATGTTCCTTGACTGCATCCTATCTTTTCATATACTGAAATATGTTGGCAATTCTAATTTATGTTTTGTTATCTTGCAGTTTCTTTTCAACTATATGATCTCAAGCAGCAAGGCTTCATTGAGAGACAGGAGGTATATTCTGATGCCTTAATCAAACTAACCAATAGTTGTAAAAGTACAGCTTTCTGAGGTCCAATTGGAGGCACTAGATTTTTACTTCATACTGAATTAAGATTGAAGTAAAATGAAACATGTAATGTGACAAACTATAATGGTACTATAACTTTCCTGTTTACATTATGAATGCATGAATGTCTATATACAATTTTATTTTGTGCACTTCGATTTTTTTTTGACAATTGTGTCCTTTCTTGGACTCTAGGAATCAGCATTCTGTTTGTAGTTTCATTGGGCAGTATTAGATAGACATGATTTTTTTTTTTAAATTTGTAACATTAAAGTGATGTTTAATTGGTCTTTTGATGGAACATCATGGTTTTCAAGTCGTACTGGATAGCATTTTAACTGATTGAATGCATCACTTTTCTCTGTGGGTAGTGACACTTGGGGGCCTGAACTTTCAAGTGCAACACCTGAGTACCCTAAACTTTCAGAAATATACGCACAAGTCTAACACCGTTATCTGACATTACAGTAGATAGTAGTAAAATTACCAAACTGCCCATTATCTTCAGATTTATTTAAGATTAATACCACAACTTCAGAGAAAATTAAACAAATTACATAGACAATTTAAGAGGGTGTAATGGTTGTACTAGACTGGAAACACTGCTCTACATGAACTTATTCAGAAAATAAAACTGATTTTTGTTACGGAAGTACCTATCAGCTGAAAATGACAGAACCTTCGTGCAAGTCCATCCATGAAGGAAGAGCTGCTGAATCTGAGATGAGTCGGGTGACACCATTGAATCCTTAGAAGTTGGTGTACTCCAAATCTGAATTGAGAAATGATTAAAGGCTTCTATGGTCCTAGGCAATATTCGGCATGAAACATGCTTAATAATGGGGCCTTCAAATGAGGTTGATCAAAATGTAAATGGCATTTCACTATTACAATGCTTGTTTTCTTTTTTGAATTCAGTGATATTACCAAGTTTGGTCTCAACCAGCACAAGTGGCACTGTAGGAGAATAGAGTTTCAGCTCTCTGGGATCCACTATATAGTTGAATGTGTCAGATTCTGTTGGTCAGCCAACAGCAGTTTTATCAGACAAGAAAAATATATAAAAACATATCATAGATAGCCTTGCTGATAAGAGATAATGCCAACAAAAACATTTCAGCACCTCTGTAACTTAGAGGCCTTAACCTTGGTAACCTTCCTGCTCTGTTAGAAACTAGAACTAAAAATTGACTCAAATCACTTTAACAATGAAAATAACGTTGCAGACGTTCACCAAAAGGTAATTAAGTTAGATAAAAATAGAAAAAGGATCCTCTTTTTTTCGACAAGTAAAAAGAAAGTTTATTAAATAAAAAGAAAAAAACAAATACAGCCTAGAATGGTGTTGAGGGAAAACCTCCATAAGACATAAGAAACAACAGGCATCCAAATCCCAAACAAAAGGCCCCCAAATGATAAGACTGCAGGAGCTGGGTGCACGAAGAAGGATGGAGGAGAGGTTTGTTCTGGCTAATAGGCGGAAGAAGTTTTTTTTTTTTTTTTTGTTGTGGAAAAGAGATTCTTGTTAGAAGAGACAGGTGGTAACTCGGTGATCAAAATCAGAGAAGACAAAAGATCTGTAGTGGTGTTAACAGGGAAGCTTCAAGTTGGTTGAAAGGGTTGATCAATGGCACTTTATTTGCCATCACAGAGACCGGATGGAAAGGGGAACTATGTCTGCAAAAGAAAAAGTTCATTATGGAGAAGAAGAACAATAACAGAAATGTTCGGACTTGGTAAGAAGCAGATAGTTTGTATTCCTGCTGGAAAAGAAAAACAAGGGTGGCTGATGTTTGCGGAGGCCCTGGGCATTTATGAACAGAGGATGTGGCTTCTGGAGAACCGAGCAGAATGCATGAAGGCTCCTATGGTTTTCCCAGAGTCGAGACACTTGTCTGAGAATACCTATGACGTGAAGAAACAGACAGGAGGCATTTGTGGAAGTTCCATATGCTCGAAATTGATGGCTGAGGGGAGTATGGAGGAGTGGAGAAGAAGAAAGGTGGTTAGATTGGATAGAAAGGTGGCTGACTGGGGAGGAGTTTTACAGGATATAATGGCCTCTGTTCCAGCAATGGAAAGGGCAGCTCTTTGCCCTTTTGGTGGAAATGCAGGGGTATTAGATTTGGGCAGCCAATTTGATAATCTACTCAGAGCTGCCACTAGAGAGGGAGTAGCAATTGTAGAAAACTGGAACTCCGCTTGCAACAAGGTGGAAGTAGAATGCGACGCCATTAGCCTGAAAATAGTGGGACTCCCGTTCAATCTTTGGACAGAGGAGTTTCTTATCCAGATTGCAGCGTTGTGTGGAGGTTCCCTTCAAGAAATGGATTTGTCTGATCTTCATGTGGCTACCTTGCAGGTAGGTATGTCCAAGCTGGAGAAGATTCTGAGAATGATTGAAGTTTTCTGCAATGGGAGGTGGAGGCAGGTATGGATAGTGTTGGAAGTTGAATCGACACTCTGGAAGAAAGGGAGAAAGGTTGAAGATGATGACTACATGGCAAGTAGAAGGCCACGTGGAGAAAAAATTAAGGAAGGCTTGAGCTTTAATGTCATTTTTCCCCCAAAGGGAAATAGATCGTTGGGCAAGATTTCATTAGGCTCTAAAGACCCATTGATAGCTGGGTTTTCAATTTTTTTTTGAATTTAGAAGAAATGGTTCATTGTCCTACGTGGAGGCTCTAAAAGGGGAGAAAGTGGGTTTAAAGATTTCTGAACCAGGGGCGGACTGAGCGACTAGGTCTTGCTTTAAACCGACCTCACATGATAACTTAAATCTCACGCGTGGGGTCGTGGAAGGGTGGACAATGGGAGATTATGAGGTGGGTGTATCATCGTCCCCGCCAAGCTCTAACAGTAAAAACATGGGAAATTCGATCCAGTTACAGTGGGTCAAGCACTCTCAGTTGATACAAGACAAGCCCAACACTAGATATGCCCATTTGAAGGAAGTTCAGGGGGACAATAACGACGACTACTAGTGGCTTAGCTACGGTGATTCTGAGGAGAGCCTTTCTGACGACGATTCTAGCTTTGGAAGTGTTGATGGAACTATCCAAGTTTGCTTGGAGGACAAAGAGGATATGCACATTGGTGCTCTGTTTGAGGGGGAGAAGTTTAGTGAAACACAGGTTGAGGAGTGTTTTGACATTAAAGTATATAAGCAGCTTGGTAAGGAGGATAAAGCTTGTTGATAGATTTTCAGCAATAAGGGCAACTGCAAAATGATGCTAGTTTGATGTAACTGGTCCAGGATTAGTAGGGATCTTCCTGTAACCAAACAACAGTTGGAAGATCTCTCTTAGTTGAGTAGAAAATTTTGGAAAGTCAGGTGGTGATTGAGCAAGGGAACTCTAAAACTTCAAAGGAAACTCCAGCAAGGGCCACAAGACCAAGCTTGGATCAGGTTAATGCAACTAGGGAACGCAATCAAATAGAGAAAACTGACTTTGGTCTGATTGGCATCCCAGATCCTATTCAGGGCAACATGGTATCTGAAAAAGAACAAGATCCTCCTTTGAACTCTGGTATTCCCTGTAACTTTAGTGTTTCGGTTTTGCTACTGACCTTTCCTCAAATGCTATTGTAGGCAGCCCAAATCTTGCTCCCATTGTGCAAAGGTCAATGGATTCATCTGATGTTGTTGTGAGTGAGTGAGATTGGGGAAGACTCAAAGGGAGGATCAAAGACAGATTGTGGAAAGGAGCTAGAGGATTCAGGGGAAAGCATGAGAAGTGGAGAATGTTGGAAGGAGGGAGAAAAATCCAATGAAAACACGAAAGTGGAGAAAAATGAGAGTGTTGTGATTAAAGAAAAAGGGATTGAGATCAGAGCTGAAGTAGGCATCTTGGGGGAAAGGATACATGAGGAAGAAGACCCAATGGTGGACCTAGCTGGAAGAATGGGGCTTAATGTAGAGAAATCTAAGGAGATGAGCTCTCAAACAAAAAAAAAAAGGAAAAGTGGGGAGGAAAAGGAGAAAACTGAATGAAGTGGAGAAGCTTATTAATGACGCTGAAGGGGACAAAGAGTTTAGTGCCAGGGGAGGAGGAAAAAAGGAGGTTTAGGGTAATTTGAGTTAGGTCAATGAAGGTTATCAGCTAGAATGTGAGGGGCCTAGGAAGTGCTATGAAGAGAAGACTGATTAGGGAGTTGTTGAAGAAAGAGAAACCGGACTTAGTGCTGATCCACGAATCCAAGGTTTCGGAGGTAGATAGCAAATGTATCACGTATTTGGGGGGAGAGAGAGATTTAGTGGAGTTATGCTCCAGCATGGGGTGCCTTAGGAGGAATAATAACAGCTTGGAAGGAGTACATGCTTAATTGCAGTGAAGAACTAGTGGGAAGATTCTCAGTTTTGCTTAAGTTGAATACTCAGGATGGGTTTGAATGGGTCCTTACCAATGTTTATGGTCCAAACTCTTACAGAAAAAGAAATGTAATGTGGGAAGAGTTAGCAGACATTAGAGGTTTGTGGGATGGACCTTGGTGCCTAGGAGAAGACTTTAATGTAGTCAGGTTTGTGGAGGAATCAAATGGAGGTAGACAAAGGGTTACCTCAAGCATGAGGAAACTTAACAACTTTATTGAGGATCTTGAGTAAAGGGACATCCCTTTTGGTCAACCTTGTTTTACCTGGTCTAATCTTCAAGCTAACCCTATCTGCTCTAGTTTGGACAGATTCTTGGTGTCACTATACTAGGAAGAACATTGGACGAATTTGATGGGAAAAACCTTACCTTGAGTTACTGATCACTGGCCAATATGCTTGTTTAAGAGATCCAATGCTGGAGGTCCATTTCCCTTTAGATTTGAGAATATGTGGTTTACCCATTCGGAATTCAAGGAAAAGGTTAAGGAGTGGTGGGATACCCACATACCACAACCTATTTGGGAAGGTCAGAAATTTCTGAAGAAGCTGTAGATATTGAAGGGAGAAATT